TTTCACTTCACGAGAACCTCGCCCGCACTGAAGCGAAGTCCGCTTTGCACGCTCTGACTTCCGAGGGTTTCTTTCGCATAAGCTCGCATTGTGTGTACATTCTGACCCTCGCGGTAACCAGAGTACACATACACCCGCACTAGAATGAAGGAACCGTTTCCATCTAGCAGCTTGCGACTTGAATCCTGCGCGCCGATCGATCACTGCCTTCTGTGATGCCCGCTTCAGACAGTGGCGACAATTTCCTGCGCCTGCTCGAGCGCCGCGATCTGGAAAACAGCGAGGCAGACAGTGAGAGTGTGTTTCCACGCTTGCATTCCAGATAGGTGTCTACTCACCATCTTTACGCATTCCTTCCTGCGCGTCACGACATGGTCGCTCTCGCGCATCAGCTCGTTCATTACGTCCTGCTGGTAGAGCTCCTTGAGCAGTTCGCGTTGTAGAGAGTCCTTTGCAAATTTCTATCGACAGCGAAAGACAATGCGCATCAGCTTCTCGATCCTAGGACGCATCTCTGGCTCATCTCGAACTCACCACCAAGTGGAGCATTGTAGCCTTTGGTACCATGTCAATGATCGTTCGCTTCACAATGCTGCAAACAACAAAGCTTTGTCATCAGCATCGCGAGCTGAAAACGAGCGTGGCACGAAGCCAACACTCACTTGAAGTAGGACATGATGAGCATTCTGATGACCTCGACTTCCATGGCTTCTCGGTCTGTGAGCTGTCCGCTGGCTGTCAGACTGGGAGGTGGAGCGTCCATCGTAGCATGCTTAGCTCTTTCCTTTGCTGAAGCCTTTCCGCCGCTGAAGAAGCTTCCAAAAAATCCCTGGTCTTTGATGTCCACATTCAAATCCTTGTCGTTGTTGATGGTATGCTGTGGCTTCTTGGGATCGTTGGCACCCGAAGCTTGTGCAAAGCGCTCAGTCACGATCGACATGGCCTTGTGGCCGCCGATGAAGTCCGGGTGGCCAGTGTTCAGGTAGCACGCCTCGGATAGGACAATGTCCGTCACCAGCTTGGTAGTTGGCTGCAAACACCTCTTGAAGAACTGGATCACGACAGTGTTGAACCTTTCTCGGAGTTGCGGGAACCTTCGGAATTGTTGCTGCAGTGCATGCAAAAAGAATCAGTAACTTCACCCTTAGCAAAGTCTCTGGTTACTGCCTTGCGCCACGCCACTCACGTTCTTGCTCAACAGCTGAGAGAGAATGCGGACAAGTTCATCGTAGACCAAGCTGACGCACTTCAAGGATGGGTCTTCCAGTCGCTTGATCTGCTGCTTGACTATAACCTCGAACGCGGTTGTGCCAACGAACAGTGCGGGGCTAGATCCCGAAGAATTGTAGAGAACAGTCCTGATGTACGAGTCCTTCACAGTGTCGAAAGGATCGATGGCCTTGATACCGTTGCTAAACAGCTCGTGGAATACGAAGCTGATCCTCGCACCTCCCGCCAACTCGTTCACCGACAAATCGTTCGAGTTGCCGTCAATGACTGTTCGGAATTCGTTGCAGAATTCGGTAATGATGGTCAAGACAATGTTGCCAGAGTTGGCATCGCCTAAAGCACCACCAAGAGATGAAAGCTCGCTGTTGAATTTTTGCAGCTGCTGTTGAATTTTAGCCTTGATGTCTGGAAGCGTAGTGCGAATGTGGTGCATGAGAATCTGGTTTCGATGTGTTTGGGCTGACGGAGTCAGTCGCGGTGCGCCGTGCCGAGAATGCTTCAAAGTATACTCACAGTGTTGAGCTTTCGAGCCAGGTAAGGCGTACCACAGTACTGAGCCTTGGACCGATAGCTGGGGTGGTTGGAGAAGAAGTCCGACTCTGCAGCCAAAGCAGCGCTGACCAGCTTCTTTTGATCAATGTCTCTCTGTCCTCTGTTCACGACGGGCACGTAGCCCAGGCGCAACGGGATGATGCGGCCTGCTAGGATATCGACGACGTCTGTGCCTTGGTCCCTGCACTCGGCAGATGTCGGGCACAGTCGTCAGGATCATGTCGAAGCGCCGCGAAGCTTCTGAACAGACTCACATCAGGTCAACCTTTGTCAGCACACCCACAGTCCGCGTCCCTTCCGGATCCACCTCTCTGGCCAGCTTCAAACCATCCGAGTTGGCCAAATCTGTGTTGGCAGCTGTAACAGCGAGAATCACAGCATTTGGCTTCATGATGAATTTGAGGACCATGTCGCGAATCTGGCGCTCAATGTCTCTGGGCTGATCTCCAACCGGCACCTGTGCAGGTCGGAGCATACGGCGGCGTGCAGGCGTCAGTAGCTGCACGTAGTGAGCAAGTGCTGATATAGACATCTGTTACGCTTTTCATCTCTTGCGTTTGCATTGAGACTGTGCTGGGCATCTATGATTCCCAAGATCACTCATCCAAGCGCACGCACCTTGGTCAAGCCCGGCAAATCGACGAGCGTGAGGGTCAAGACATTGGGACTGTAAATCCTCAAATTGATAGGCTGGGGGGATATGCCTGCATTCTTTCCCGTCTTGAGTTCCGTATCGCGTACAATCTCTTCCCTTATCTTGTTAAAGTCATAAAATTTCTCCCCCGGCAGATGCAAAAACTCTCCCCATTCGTCTACAGTGTGCCACGCATGAGCGAGGTGTGGCATCAGCATAGCGACCTCGCACGCATGGTCTGTCCGACAAAAGGCAGCGCGAGACGATGCTGCTGGAACGGCATGGCCGATACTCACCTTTGCTATCCCCGCCATTCGCACCATTGGCAGCTGGAGCCGCACTGGCGGCTGCACCAGCACCCTTCTCACTGGCAGCCGCTACTCCACCCTGCGCGCCACCTGCAGCAGGTCTGTTGATGAGTTGCAGCACCAGCGGTCTACGAGTGACGATTCCGGTACCTCGCGGCAAGAAGTCCCTGCCCACGAGGTTCTCTAGAACTGATGATTTCCCACTGCGATGAGTCGACAAAATGAGGGAAACATACGCAGTCAGTGCGAGCGCGATGAGGGCTGTGCGAATGCTTCACTTCCTGGTGATCAAAGCTGAGCAGCATAGACCGCCTTGGCCTCAACACCAGAACTTTGACCGACCATCGGAATGTTACCCGCACGGTTTCCAACGCGCAAAGTTCAGACTCACGAGCTCTGACTTCCAAGCACCGTGATCTGAGGTAAATCTATCGGATTTTGTATTCCAACATTATTGAAAGCGTCTTGCAGCTTGTTGACAAGCTTGATGAGTGATTGGTCCATCCTCGCTCGTTCCTCCTCTTGCCTTCGGCTAGTGGCTCCTGTTCTGTACCTCAAGTCCTAGATCTGAGCGGGAATGTAGCGATTCGCTATGTTCCTGGTAGGACGCACTACTGCTGCTTCAGCGCGACTCTGTCCAGATGAGTGATCGATGATGCAGGGCAAGCTAAGTTCCTTCTCCTACTCTCTAACGAGCCATATGATGCGCAGTCGTGGATCGTAAAGAAGTAGATGGTCCGCAAACGTGGAACGGGATGTTTGGGATGAT